ATATGTGGTTCCCCGTTAGTGTACGACACCGTTAAGTCGGAGTAAATATGTAATTTAATTGTTTTTTCCTCCCTCGATTCGAAGTACCAGCGCTGGACAGCGGTGGGGAACCATAGGTCCGTTATGGGAGGGGCTATATGTGCACCATTTTGATAATTGAGGGGCAACATTTACACCACTCATAATTCATGGGTGACATTGATAATTGGCATATTATAGAGGGACATTTTTTACAATTTTCCCTTTTTTTTAATATACACTATAGTTTCATTAAAACACAACTACATGATCATTTCGATATAATTACAGTTTCATTGTACAATATACACTCAAATATGTGAAATGTTATTCAGTTTCATTTTATATATACTGCAGTTTCATTTCACCACAACTACAGTATCATTTTGATATAACTGCAATTTCATTTGATAATATAAAAATAATATGTGAGGCAGTGTCGGTTTAGATACACTGTAGTGTCACTCCGTTAACACTAACAGCGCGCCGTTTCTTTACTTAAAGAAACGACGCCGTTTTGATGCGTGGTGCATAATCGATTATGCATCACGGTCCACGATATAACAACTGGCCGGCTTATAACTTTACCCTCTTAAAAAATGACTCAACCACATTTTACTCAATCACATTTTACTTTTCATATTTACTATTCATTAGTTAAATGAACTATTCTTTATTTATTTATTTTCTTTAATACTCACAAAATATGACTTTTAGTTCTAAAATTCAAATATAATGTCAAATTTATTACTTATACTAGCAAATGGTATACTAAGGGTGTGTTTGGAAACCTGGAAAATGAGTTATGGAAATCATTTTCCAAGTTTTCATTGTTTGGATGTGCCTGGAAAATCAAGTCAACGGAAATCATACCACCGCCACCACCGCCGCCACCGCCACCACCACCATACCACCGCAACCACCGTCACTGCCACCACCAACACCACCACCACCACTACCACCGCCGCCACCACCCCCACTATCGCCGCCGCCACCACCCCCACTATCGCCGCCGCCGCAACCACCGTCGTCGCCACCACCACTACCATATCACCGCCGCCGCCACCACCACCACTGCCACCACCGTCATACCACCACCAATTATTATTATTATTATTATTATTATTATTATTATTATTATTATTATTATTATTATTATTATTATTATTATTATTATTATTATTATTATTATTATTATTATAACGAATAACACTACTACCACTACACCACCACCAGCACCATAATATTTTTGATATATTATTAGTTATTTTTATTATATTTAAAATTATTATATATTATTATATATTATTATATATGTTGTAATATTCTAAATAAAATAATTAAAATGTTTAATTATATAATTCTACTCATTTTCCAGAAAATGAACCAAACACACAAAAACAGTTTTCCAGAATGCAACCAAACACGGGAAAGGAAAATATTTTCCGGAAATGACTCATTTTCCAGAAGTCATTTTCCTGCTTTCCAAACGGACCCTAAATCATGAATAAAATGTTGGGTCGGGGTATGGGGAACCCTTAAGATTGAGGTTCAGCTTTTTGGAAGAATGAATAAAATGTTTATTATTTATATGAAAAAATATAATACTTTTAATGACAAATGTAATACTTTTACATATATGTAAAAATTTTATTTTTTCATCAAAAGTATTATATTTTCTCTAATAGTTAACACATATTTTTTTCCTAATTAAAACATTTACTAATATAAATATCACATTTACATATTGATTTGACCCGTCTTACAAATAATGATTTATGAGACAGTTTCACACAAGTATGACCCATTAATATTTGAATCGCACTACAGTTCATGTTAGATCCCCTAATCCATGTGAGCTTCCAAATACTTAATAATCTTTTAATTACATATATCTCCATGTTAATTAGATCCCCAAGGTCCCAGCCCATGTGAGCTTCCACATACTATCTCTTAATCACACAACCCTAGGCCGAATACCCAAATCCCACCCATATTTTTAATATTTTAATTACAATGCCCAAACGGACATCTCCATGTTAGATCTCCTAACCCATGTGACGTTCTACATAATCTTTTAATTACATATCTCCATGTTAATTAGATCCCCCAAACCATGTGAGCTTCCACGTACTTAATCTCTTAATTACACAACCCTAGGCCAAATCACTAAAATAAACATTTTTAACTTTGTAATAACGCTAGTCTAAATACTTAGTCTAAAAACGATTATCTAAATAATTACTACTTTTCATTTGAATTTCTCAAGTCTTCTTAATTATCTTTTGGGTAGCTGAGTGATTGTCTTCATATTCAGTACTTGTCCTCTAACTTTTTTTTTTATTCGTAGTGTGTCATGTGCAATTACGTTAATGAATTTGTATGTACAAATACTTGTATAATTGCTTATAATCCAAAGGCACAGTAATTTGCACTACAAAGGTCGGTGTTTCTCTGATAAGATGAGATATGACAAGTAGTGGCTTCCCAACATCTTAGATTACAACCATACATAATGTCCAACAACTTTAATCAATGGAATCCTCTATCTATCATTGATGAATTCCCATTTGTTGCCACCAACGACACATTCTTTCAATATGTATGAGAACCTCAGCTCATTTTGATTTGTGATCTTAAGATTTATTGTGACTTTGGTGTTGCATGCTCACCCGCTACCTGCCTTCATTGACTCTTGATTAGCCCTCCTGCATACGCTAGCTAGCGTCCCAAATCCTTCCATTATATTCACGTCCAAAATGCTCTCATTTTGCCCCATTTCCGCATCCTATCAGCGCTCAAAACCTCCTACATATATAGCAAAAATGAACAAATAAAATAGTGTTTGTTTACTTTGAAATCATTCTAAAAAACTGCAATACATACAAGGTCACAACATATATGCACATACAAACCCCAGGATATCGGAAATTACAATTATCAAGATTTGGGATGCTATGCTAAAATCTCTGGCCCCCATCTTACTGTCTGGAAAACGAAACATCATCTATGGTTTAGAAATTAATCATTGAAACTGAACTAGGTTTGGATTAAAATTAAGAAAAGTAAGAATTTAAAAAATTAGAATCTTAATTTCAACTGTTTTGAAAAGCAAAAGATATATAGCTCGAAATTGGACCTGGAAATATGAACAACAAATGTGTCATCTCCGTACTCTTGCCGCTCTTTTTGACTGCACTCAGCAGATGATATAATTTACACTGAACAACTAACTAAATAATGAATATTTAACCATCTCAGTCCTCAGATGCACTAGACCCTCAATCTCCAAAAAAAAAAAAATATTATGGACATCTATGAACTGACAACGCCCTTGAAAACTTAAAATGTGCATGCACTTGATTCACCGGGAAAGTAGTGATTATGGGGTACCCTATACCAATAAGTGAGGAGGTGTTGCTAGTAGGAGTTATACCATTATAGTTGCAAATTATTGATTGAATACTCAATGGTTGAGAGATACGAGAAGAGTTTGTTGGTAGAATTGTCTTACACCTTAAACCTATGCCAAAATCCTCCTTGAAACATAGCAAATTCTCCTTTTGATCGAGCTTCTCTTAAGGCTAATTCACGCAAAATATCATGCATTTCATATAGTCTTGACAATTTACTAGATCTCAGCTCTCCTTACAAATTAGAACAAGATATCTATCTACAAGATCTTGTAAGGACTCCCTTGCCACATCTTCCAATCTCTTAGACTTCAAAACCTTTAGAAATCCCTCTGAAACCCAAAAATCAACAATCACATCTTCATCAACCTCATAGTCTTCTGGTATACACACAAATGACAAAAACAAAGTCTAAGATGATGAGGAGAAGGTGTAACTCAAATCAATGATATTCTCACACTGCAGATTAGAATGATCTAAATTTAATGCGCAAACATTTTTTGCAATATGCTCCCACTCATTAATTGTTTGGTTGGAGTTTGAGAGGAGTCCAGCAGCCACAGTAATTGCAGGAGGTAATCCTTTGCACTTCTCTACTATCTCTTTTGCAATACTTTCAAATTCAGGGGATAAAATTATTCTCTTAGACAAAATGGGAAGAAGAAGCTTTTGAGTAGAGTGAAGTCTAAGCTTCATGGCTTTCCCCAAGTAAAACAATCTCAATTGGTGTTCAATTTGGAACCTTAGTTCAACTCAGGCATCTCTCATTTGTGCTTCCAAACCTTTGATTGCTTCATCGTTGTTGCCCTCGCCCACCCTAAAACCGAAATCCTGTTCAAGAGATCGAGGTTTGCAAAGAAGAAAGATTCTTGTAAAGAGAAGTGACTTTTGTTTTGTTACGAAGAGGGAAAATGAGTGTGGGTTGGAGGAAGTGTTGATGACGTGTGTCCATTAAAATGGTTACAGCACCAAATAAATTTTGCCAAACACCCTTAGTGTGACAAGGACAATTTTGATCATTCGTCTAATTTCCCTAGTTGACGTCTGAGAGGGGATAATTGCGTCAATTCATCATATCTCCTTTTGACGCCATGGCTGAGGCCATACAGTGCAGTAACGCAGCTCTCCCTAGTCGAGTCTGAGTCAAGATCCTCTCTTTTTAGCATACTGACGAACGGCACCGCCATCGAGCATGGCTGCGAGATTGCAGAGAACTAGGAGAATGCGACCTGTGATGTGGCCGGATTTATGAACAGGCAAGCTAAGGAAACTCTTCTAACATCATAAATGCACCAACTTTGTACTACGCATTCTCAACCAACCGAAAATCATCTTTACTGGAATGTGCAACAACTTTATTACCAATCTTTAGAATAATAGAAGTCGTCATCCCTGGAAAGTAAAACACCATCATCTATAGCATACAAATTAATCATAGAAATTGAAATAAATTTGGATTAAAATTAAGAAAATTATGGATTAAAAGTTACAAGTATAATTATTATTATTATTATTATTATTATTATTTTTGAAAAATAAAAGTAGCTAGAAATCTAACCGTAAAATATCAACCGTTAATGCATTGTTTCCGTATTCTTGTTGCTCTTCTAGAATACACTTGGCAAAAGATATAACTGACTTTGAACATTCATATAACTTGATCGATTTGAGAGTAGCTATATCTGCAAAGCCACTAGGAATCTTTTAAAAATTATACATGTTCAAGAGGACAAGACATTCAAGGACAGGAAAATGGTGACCCGTGGCTTTCAAAATTTGTAGATCACACCAATTTATGGTTAAGAACTTTAATCCATGATATCCTCCATCTTTGGGTTTCCATTTTTTGCCAACAGCAGCAACACGATGCAAGACGAGGTCCTCAAGCTTCGGCAACATCCCAACAACATACATATCCTTCCAATTTAATTTTGTATACAAGAGTTTCAATATCTTAAGATTTGGCAAAATATTCTCTATGCTCAAAGTCCCCATAGAATGAATTGTACTAAACTCCGGATGAAGAAGTTTGCCACAAACTTGTAGATCTTCCAGTTTATACAAATAGGCAAGACTTTCGAACCAACTGAATGCTTTGCATTTCATATTAATGTTACGATCTTCATTAATTACCAACGTCCTTAGATTTGGGATTCTCATAAACAGCTCCTCTGTACAACTCCTATAATCCAAATATCTAATGCTCTCCAAATTATGATGAACTGATCTTGGAGGAACCAATGTAATGGTTGCCTGAAGACTAAGCTTCTTCAGTTGGGGTAATCCCGAAATGTTAAGGGGTTCATTTAGTGAATGATTAACTTGAACTTCTAGCTTCTGCAAATTCCATAACATGAACAAGGGTAGAGAATTAAGTTCCAAAGTAGAATAACTTTTTAGATATCTCAAATGCACTAGACCCATTAACTCTGTAGACGCATAGGCATTGTCGTCTGGCTCTTCTACTATCAATCCCCTTAAAAACTTAAAATGAAAATGAAATTGCTTATTGTAGCCGTTACGGGATAAAGCCAACCTTAAAAAGGAACTGCAGGTATGAGACAAAGAGTTGTAACTGCAAATTTTTGATTGGATACTCCATGGGTGAGAGATACGAGAGGAGTTTATTAGTTGATTTCTCCTAAACCCCACACTAAAGATAGAGCTATCATTTTTGAGACATAATAGATTCTCCTTTTGAGCTTCTCTCAAGGCCAATTCACCCAACACATCATGCATTTGATATACTTTTATTGATCCATAATTAGTCATCTTTGTAGAAATTAAAACAAGATTCCTATCTACAAGATCTTGTAAGGATTCTCTTGCCACGTCTTCCAAGCTCTTAGACCTCAAAACCTTTAGAAATCCCTCCAAAACCCAAAAATCAACAATAAAATCTTCAGCAAGTTCTTCGTCCTCCAGAAAAAGCCCAAGTGACAAGAAACAGTGTTTAAGATGATGGGGTAAGAAGGTGTAACTCAAGTCAATGATGTTTTCACCCTTCTGATTAGAATGATCTATACTTAATGTATGAACATTTTTTGCAATTAGCTCCCATTCATTTAAGTCTTGTTTGGGGTTTGAGAGGAGTCCAGCAACCACATTAATTGCAAGAGGAAATCCTTTGCACTTTTTTACTATCTCTCTACCAATTCTTTCAAATTCAGGGGACAAAGTTATTCCCTGGGGCGACACCTTGTTGTGAAAAAGGTTCCAACTTTCATTTGAATCCAAAAAACGCGTGGTATGACGAAGATTACCACCTGAACCAGCATAATCAGCCACATTTTTGAGTCGAGTGGTCAACAACATTCGACTTTGATTGTTATCATCTGGGAAACATTTCTGCAAATCACACCAAACTTCTGTACTCCATATGTCATCAATTATGATCAAATACCTTTGACGTTTTAGACATTTGTAAACTACCTCAGCCAATTCTTTGTTGCTAGCTTCATAGTTTTCTTCATCGACCCCAGGGACAAGAGAACGAAGAAGGACTTTGAACACTTTTGTTGGATTATACACCTGTGAGATAGTAACCCAAGCTCGACAATCAAAGCGAGAAATGAATGAAGCATCTCCATAAATTCTTTTAGCTAAGGTGGTTTTACCGATTCCACCCATTCCCATAATTGACACAATTTCTCGTTGCTTGGATTGCTGGTTCAGCTTATCCATTATCATGTTGAACTCATCATCACAGCCCCACCATTTCTATTCTAGTATGTTGCAACGAATCACCAACTGTAATGTTCTCCCTTTTTGGCCCTATAAGTCTAAGAGAAGCACATGTATTGTTCCCTTGTGGGGTATTGGATTGATTGTAGTGTGCATTCTTAACCTTCAACATCTCTTTCTTGATGTAGGATGTAAGTTTAATTCCTTGCATGAAAATTTGATTAATCTTATGTCGAGCCTGTATCCGTTGCTTCATGTATTTATTGAGATAAGAGGGGACTCTCAATTCTTGCCTGATTATACTTTCTGCTTCAGACAAAATAGGTTGTAGTACCTCTGTCTCCCATTCACCATCATTGTCCTCATGTTCATCCTGGCTCCCTTGTTCATCATCACTATTTTGTTCTTCCTCAGTCGCTCGTTCATTCATCATCACTCTCCTCCTGTTCATCCCGGCTACCATGTTCATCATCACTCTTTTGTTCTTCCTTGTTCTCCAATTCATCCTCACTCTCCTCCTTTGTCTCATGTTCATCTTCGCTCTCCTCCTTTGTCTCCTGTTCATCCTCTTATCATTAGTTTAATTAAGACATTCATCAAGCGGCTCATGTCATACATTCACCTTATTCTAAATAGGTCATTATATTGGAGCCAACTGTGAAGGTCTGGAATGACTTGTGCATGTTCCCATCTTCGGTTTAAGTGAAGGAAGGCCCTTGGATCGCTTATGTGAATTGGTGTAATTGATTGAATAGGTGCATGTTGAGAGGTGACCCTTGGGCATATTAGGCTATTGCATGTTGAAGAACTCGAGTGTACCCCGGGTCTATTCACTTGAGTTTTAAGCCAAGAAAGAATGTACATAGCTACTCCGGTTCACAAGCAATGTATGGGTGATACCAACATGACATGACTATTTGTACATAATCCTCTTCATGAGATCAATGGGGAATGTGAGCCCCAATCCTTATACCATGGACCAGGGTTCACAGTACAGTGTTGATGCTGGTGCATGTATGTGTTTTATATTGTGAGTTTTTGACTTTTTGTGTCTTGTGCTATGAAATTTTATACCTTAAGAGTATGAATTCTGTACCTGAAACAAATTAGTAGTCGTGTCTTATGTTATTAATTTTTGTGTCTTATGTTGTGAAATTCTGTGCCTATGAATTCAAATTTTTTACCTAAGTCATATTTGAAAAATAAGTAATACGGAGTATATAACATGTGTATGTGTCTTAATTTGTTGTAATTTTGTGTGTCTTGTGTTATAAAATTATGTAACTTACGAGTATGAATTATGTAACTCATCGTTTTAATTCAGGGTCCATAATGCTATGTGGACCGTCCATGATATAAATTGCCATGTGAGCCCATGTAGTTGAGATCTTGCATTGCATTTGGCCCTCTTGATTGCCGCAAATTATGCTGTGGAAACGTGTTCACCATGCTTGGTGAACACGTTTCGAAACGACGTTGTTTTACAGGCGTAACATTAAAAACAAATAAAAATTATTTACTGTGCTATTAACGGCGTTAGTCTCGATTTTGAAGGCAATTTTCGTTATCGTTTTTGGCAGTTTCAATTCGCTATTCAGTTCTTTGATTCCATTCGCTATTCACAATTCTCTTCTTCCATTCACGATTGCTTGATTTGAACTCGTAGATGGAGGAGACAGCGGATCGGGGAGAAGATTTAATTGGTGATTCGATTTCTGCGATTCCAGGTTTGTATCATTCGATTTCTGCGATTTTTGCGTTTGATTTCATTTGGTTTATGAGATTTTAGCTGCTTGAAATTGAATTAGAATGTATGTTTGTGTTTGTTATTGCGAGATTGTGGTGTGAGCGTTATAATCTTTTAAATGTGTGTTTGTAGGATTTTGTGATTCATGGTGATTATTTGCAATGTTCTTTATTTTTAGTTTGTTTTTACTGATTCTGTATCTATGCAGTTTGAATGTTCATAATGTCGCAATTGTTATTAATATTATGTTTCTGTTATGACTTTACAGTTATAAGATAATGAATTTTCTGTTATGCAATTATGAATTTTGATACTCTGTTCATGCATGTGGTATGGATGTTCATAATTTGATAGTTCGATGTTCATAACATATTAACTAGTATGTTACTCTGTTTTCATATATTCAGTAAATGAAGATTTTGTTGGTGATTCACTAAGTACTGATCAAGAAGATGTAAGCATTGGCATTGATGGCTCCTCTTCAAGTCCAGGTATATTTCTTAGCTTTTAATGTGAATGTGGTTACTGGTAGTAGTAGGTATTGATTCATGGTGATTATTTGCAATGTACTTTATTTTTAGTTTGTTTTTACTGGTGTTTATTCAGTATCTATTTGCAGTTTGAATGTCCATAATGTCGCAACTGTTATTAATACTTTGTTTCTGTTATGAATTTACAGTTATGATATTATGAATTTTATGTTATGAAATTATGAATTATGTGAATTGTTATTGATGGACAATATATTATTTTTTGTAGAGCATGGCTGGATTTATTCGACATTCCCCATCCCCCTCTACTTAAATAAAGAATAAATTTCCATCAAACTCATTTCAATTTTGTACTATATTATATTCATTATAGTTGAACTGTACATTCATAAGGTGTAGACTTGTTCTGTAGATATTGTTGTTCAAAAGTCAGTAGTTGTTATGTTCTTTTGGCAAGAGTCATCTACTCCGTTCACATAGAAGAGTGGGAAATAATCATCTTGAATATTTAAAAGATATGAAGAAGAGTGGCGTTGCATTGGCGGATGGTATAAGGTTTTTGAAACATCAGTCAGGGGGTTCTCCATTGGTTGGCTTTACCAACCGCGATGCTTACAATTCGATGGCTTGTGAGAGCTTGAAGTGTTTGGATGAAACCGATTCCAATTCTTTGATTGAAATATTTAGGAGGAGGCAGTCTAATGAGGCTGATTTCTTTTTTGATTTTGAAGTTGATTTGGATGCAAGACTGTGTAGTTTTTTTTTTTGGGGGGATGGTCAAATGAGGCGGGATTATGAGTTGTTTGAGGATTTGTTAGTGCATGATACAACATATCGCACTAACAAATATGATATGACTTGTGGCCCTTTTGTAGGGATGAATCATCATTGCATGAATGTAATGTTTGGATGTGGGTTTTTTATGAACGAGAGGATAGAATCATTTGCGTGGTTGTTTAGAGCGTTTTTAAGATCCATGGATGGCAAGTGTCCACAAACTATCATGACAGATCAATGTTCAGCTATGGTTGCTGCTTTTTCTATGGTATTCCCTACATCACCCCACTGTCTTTGCATATGGCATATTGGTGAGAATTCGAAGAAGCATATCAAGGCATTAAAGAATCATAAGAATTTTTTGGATATGTTCAATTTTGTGTTGAAATACACCGAGACTAAAGATGTTTAATGTTATTATTTACTTTGTTCATTGGGTACAGTATCATATTTTGGTATTTTAGTCATTAATATTGTGTATTTAAGAGGGGGTAAGAATTATGAATATACAGTTAGAAGTTATATATGAATCTGCAGCATAGATATTATGGATATTCTATGTATATATTATGAATGTACAGTATTCTGTTTGGACTTTTAGTCATTTATATTGTGTATTTAAGAGGATAAGAATTATGAATATGCAGTTTATATATTATGGATCTACAACATAGAAATTATGAATATACAGTATTATGTTTTTTTGATATTGTTGTTTTGTTTCATATAAGCTTAGTAAACGTGTCTTGTAACTTTCAGGATGGTGACTGAGTATAAGTGTCATAAGAATACTTGGCTAGAGAAGCTTTATGATTGTAGGGAGAAGTGGTGTCCATCATTTAACAATGATTATTTTTCCGGTGGCATTTTATCTTCTCAAAGGAGCGAAACTACAAATCATTCAATTTCTAGAAGGTTATCTAAGACTGCTGGTTTGTATGATTTTTATTCATCCTTTGTTAGTGTTATTTCTGAATGGAGAAGTAAGGAAAATGGTGAAGATTTTCGGTGTTCTCAAGGAGTATTTGCCATGATGATGGATCATGTGAAACTTCTTTCACATGCTAGAGAGGTATATACTATTGAGATATACTTTTTGTTCGAGGAACAATTTATGAAAGGTAGCTCTTGTTATCAAGAAATTGTTTTGAATGATGGATGTAAGTGCAAGTATCATGTGTAGTGACCAGATATAGACATTATAAGGCATGAAGTAATTTTAAGCCAATCAATTTGGATATATCTTGTAGTTGCAAGTTATTTTCTGAATTGGAAATACTTTGCTGTCATTGTTTACGTATACTTCATGTGCACGGTGTTTCTAGTATTCCAGATAAATACATTCTAAAAAGATGGACTAAAAAAGTTGTTGATGGTAGAAATGTGGACATTGCTTCTATGTTTAATAATGTTGGTATCCCTCCTTCAATTTGGGTTGTTGAGATTAGTAGGAAAATGGAATTTCTTTCTCTATTTGCGTACTGCCAAATTTGCGTACCTAAGTCATATTTGAAAAATAAGTAATACGGAGTATATAACAAGTGTATGTGTCTTAATTTGTTGTAATTTTGTGTGTCTTGTGTTATAAAATTATGTAACTTACGAGTATGAATTATGTAACTCATCGTTTTAATTCAGGGTCCACAATGCTATGTGGACCATCCATGATATAAATTGCCATGTGAGCCCATGTAGTTGAGATCTTGCATTGCATTTGGCCCTCTCGATTGCCGCAAATTATGCTGTGGAAACGTGTTCACCATGCTTGGTGAACACGTTTCGAAACGACGTTGTTTTACAGGCGTAACATTAAAAACAAATAAAAATTATTTACTGTGCTATTAACGGCGTTAGTCTCGATTTTGAAGGCAATTTTCGTTATCGTTTTTGGCAGTTTCAATTCGCTATTCAGTTCTTTGATTCCATTCGCTATTCACAATTCTCTTCTTCCATTCACGATTGCTTGATTTGAACTCGTAGATGGAGGAGACAGCGGATCGGGGAGAAGATTTAATTGGTGATTCGATTTCTGCGATTCCAAGTTTGTATCATTCGATTTCTGCGATTTTTGCGTTTGATTTAATTTGGTTTATGAGATTTTAGCTGCTTGAAATTGAATTAGAATGTATGTTTGTGTTTGTTATTGCGAGATTGTGGTGTGAGCGTTATAATCTTTTAAATGTGTGTTTGTAGGATTTTGTGATTCATGGTGATTATTTGCAATGTTCTTTATTTTTAGTTTGTTTTTACTGGTGTTTATTCTGTATCTATGCGGTTTGAATGTTCATAATGTCGCAATTGTTTTTAATATTATGTTTCTGTTATGACTTTACAGTTATAAGATAATGAATTTTCTGTTATGCAATTATGAATTTTGATACTCTGTTCATGCATGTGGTATGGATGTTCATAATTTGATAGTTCGATGTTCATAACATATTAACTAGTATGTTACTCTGTTTTCATATATTCAGTAAATGAAGATTTTGTTGGTGATTCACTAAGTACTGATCAAGCAGATGTAAGCATTGGCATTGATGGCTCCTCTTCAAGTCCAGGTATATTTCTTAGCTTTTAATGTGAATGTGGTTACTGGTAGTAGTAGGTATTGATTCATGGTGATTATTTGCAATGTACTTTATTTTTAGTTTGTTTTTACTAGTGTTTATTCAGTATCTATTTGCAGTTTGAATGTCCATAATGTCGCAACTGTTATTAATACTTTGTTTCTGTTATGAATTTACAGTTATGATATTATGAATTTTATGTTATGAAATTATGAATTATATGAATTGTTATTGATGGACAATATATTATTTTTTGTAGAGCATGGCTGGATTTATTCGACATTCCCCATCCCCCTCTACTTAAATAAAGAATATATTTTCATCAAACTCATTTCAATTTTGTACTATATTATATTCATTATAGTTGAACTGTACATTCATAAGGTGTAGACTTGTTCTGTAGATATTGTTGTTCAAAAGTCAGTAGTTGTTATAGTTGTGGTTATATTTTTTTTGCAATTGTAGTTGATAAAGATTTGGTTGGTGTTGTAGTAAGTAATAGTGATGAAGCTTTTGAGTTATATAATGGATATGCATAGAGAGTTGGTTTTAGTGTGAGGAAAGGTCAACAACGTTACAAGGCATTTACTAAGTCAATTAAGATGAAGAGGTTCTTCTGTGCTAATGCTGGATATAAGGAGAAACCAAATAGTGGTGTCAAGGTTTATTCAAAAATTGATATAAGGACTGGTTGTGGTGCACTTGTTCAATTTGACGTGGGGGGAGGGGGGGAGGGATGTGGACAGTTACAAAACATTTGAAAGAGCACAATCATGAGTTATGTTCTTTTGGCAAGAGTCATCTACTCCGTTCACATAGAAGGGTGGGGAATAATCATCTGGAATATTTAAAAGATATGAAGAAGAGTGGCGTTGCATTGGCGGATGGTATAAGGTTTTTGAAACATCAATCAGGGGGTTCTCCATTGGTTGGCTTTACCAACCGCGATGCTTACAATTCGATGGCTTGTGAGAGCTTGAAGTGTTTGGATGGAACCGATTCCAATTCTTTGATTGAAATATTTAGGAGGAGGCAGTCTAATGAGGCTGATTTCTTTTTTGATTTTGAAGTTGATTTGGATGCAAGACTGTGTAGTTTTTTTTTTTTTTTTCGGGGATGGTCAAATGAGGCGGGATTATGAGTTGTTTGGGGATTTGTTAGTGCATGATACAACATATCGCACTAACAAATATGATATGACTTGTGGCCCTTTTGTAGGGATGAATCATCATTGCATGAATGTAATGTTTGGATGTGGGTTTTTTATGAACGAGAGGATAGAATCATTTGCGTGGTTGTTTAGAGCGTTTTTAAGATCCATGGATGGCAAGTGTCCACAAACTATCATGACAGATCAATGTTCAGCTATGGCTGCTGCTTTTTCTATGGTATTCCCTACATCACCCCACTGTCTTTGCATATGGCATATTGGTGAGAATTCGAAGAAGCATATCAAGGCATTAAAGAATCATAAGAATTTTTTGGATATGTTCAATTTTGTGTTGAAATACACCGAGACTAAAGATGTTTAATGTTATTATTTACTTTGTTCATTGGGTACAGTATCATATTTTGGTATTTTAGTCATTAATATTGTGTATTTAAGAGGGGGTAAGAATTATGAATATACAGTTAGAAGTTATATATGAATCTGCAGCATAGATATTATGGATATTCTATGTATATATTATGAATGTACAGTATTCTGTTTGGACTTTTAGTCATTTATATTGTGTATTTAAGAGGATAAGAATTATGAATATGCAGTTTATATATTATGGATCTACAACATAGAAATTATGAATATACAGTATTATGTTTTTTTGATATTGTTGTTTTGTTTCATATAAGCTTAGTAAACGTGTCTTGTAACTTTCAGGATGGTGACTGAGTATAAGTGTCATAAGAATACTTGGCTAGAGAAGCTTTATGATTGTAGGGAGAAGTGGTGTCCATCATTTAACAATGATTATTTTTCCGGTGGCATTTTATCTTCTCAAAGGAGTGAAACTACAAATCATTCAATTTCTAGAAGGTTATCTAAGACTGCTGGTTTGTATGATTTTTATTCATCCTTTGTTAGTGTTATTTCTAAATGGAGAAGTAAGGAAAATGGTGAAGATTTTCAGTGTTCTCAAGGAGTATCTGCCATGATGATGGATCATGTGAAACTTCTTTCACATGCTAGAGAGGTATATACTATTGAGATATACTTTTTGTTCGAGGAACAATTTATGAAAGGTAGCTCTTGTTATCAAGAAATTGTTTTGAATGATGGATGTAAGTGCAAGTATCATGTGTAGTGACCAGATATAGACATTATAAGGCATGAAGTAATTTTAAGCCAATCAATTTGGATATATCTTGTAGTTGCAAGTTATTTTTTGAATTAGAAATACTTTGATGTCATTGTTTACGTATACTTCATGTGCACGTTGTTTCTAGTATTCCAGATAAATACATTCTAAAAAGATGGACTAAAAAAGTTGTTGATGGTAGAAATGTGGACATTGCTTCTATGTTTAATAATGTTGGTATCCCTCCTTCAATTTGGGTTGTTGAGATTAGTAAGAAAATGGACTTTCTTTCTCTATTTGCGTACTGCCAAATTGTGTGAATGTAGTAGTGTAGAAGTATGTAGAGAAAACAATAAATTTTCCCCTTTTATACTTGCTGACTGCCGAGTGCCGAATAGAAGAAAGCAAATTGATTTTTCAACCTCTTCTCCTCAACTTCTGCCCAAACATCTGCCGGCCCAACTTCCACCCATTTTTTCTCGAAGAAGCTAACAAATATCAAAGGGTGTTGCTATTTGCACCACCCTTTGAAAAAATGGGGTATAAAGTACATTGAAAACATAAAAAGGTGATAATTTATAATAAATACATAGGTGGTGCAAATAACCTAATGGTTGGTCAAAATGCTATTTACACCACCATAGTAAAACTGCATTTATTAGATTTAAGTAATAATTAATTAATTCAAAATTTAATTTATTTAAAAAAAAAAAAGGAAACCATCGCCTTCTCCGGTGAGAAGGCAACCCACTGGGCTGCCTTCTCACCGGAGAAGGTGACGTTTTTTTTTTAAAAAAAAAAAAATTAATAATTTGATTATAAAAATATATATATATAAAAAAATATTAGTCTTTGACCACATTAAATGATAGTGGTGCAAATAGCAATTTTTAATGAGCACCATCTATAAAGTGGTTTGACCTATTAAATAGGTGGTGTAAATAGTAAAAGAGGTGGTGTGAATAGAATTTTCCATATCAAAATATTATATGAGTTCAGAGATTACGAGAAATTGCAGGCTCAAAAATATTATACTGGATATAAATAGGATTGTTCAAAATGAACTATTTATCATATAGAAGGGAAGCTCAACCTTCTTTCAATATGAGAACCTCAATTCAACTTAATTGTGATGTTAAGATTTGGGAGTTTGGTGTTGCCCAAACAAACTGAACAAGTCTCGCAGGTGGCTCACAAATTAAAGGTCAGTTTCAGAACCTTCAGATCCTCAAGTTGCTCACATCACATGCTATCCGTCTTCATTGAATCTTGATTTGCCCGTGTGCTTGCTTGCAACTTGCAACAACGTCCCAAATTGCTCTCAATTTGCCCCATTTCCACATCTTATCAGCTCAAAACCTCCTACATATTGCTCAATTCGAATTGTGATCTTAAAATTAGTAACTTTAATTTCGTCTTGCCCACACAAACTTATTATATATTGATCCAAGTGGACACCCTACAGAAGATAGATTATTCATTAAATCCTTCCATTCACGTCCAAAATGCTCTCAATTTGCTGCCGCCATCTATCAACTTAGTTCGACCCATTCTCAATCAACGGAAAATCATCTTTACTGGAACGTGCAACAACTTTAATACCATAAAGATTCATCAAACTCATTATCCCTGGAAAGTAAAACACCATCATCGATCTATAGGCTATAGCATAGCAATTCAAATAAATTTGGATTAAAAGTTACAAGTATAATTATTATTTTTTTTTTTTCAAAAACAAAAGTAGATTAGCAAGAAATCTAACCGTAAAATATCAACAGTAAACGCGTCGTTTCCATAGTCTAGTTTCTCTTCTTGAATACACTTGGCAGAAGATATAATTGAGTTTGAACATCGATATAACTTGATCGATTTGAGGGTAGTTATATGTGCAAAGTCACTAGGAATCTTTTTTAAACCCTCTAATTCTATGAAGACTAGACATTCAAGGACATGAAAATGGTCACCCGTGGCTTTCCAAATTTGTAGATCACAATTTCCTATGATTAACAACTTTAATCCACGAAATCCTCTATCTCTGGGTTTCCATTTTCTGCCAACACCAGCATCATCCTCCAAGAAGAGGACCTCAAGCTTCGGCAACATCCCGACAACATACATTTTCTTCCAATTTAATTTTGTTCCAAAGAGTTTCAATTTCTTAAGATTTGGCAAAAAATTCTCTATGCTCAAACTCCCCACAGAATCCAGATGAAGAATTTTGCCACAAACATGTAGATCTTCCAGTTTATATAAACAGGCAAGGCTTTGGAACCAATTGAATGCTTTGCCCCAACCTGCAATAACTCCCAATGTCCTTAGATTTGGGATTCTCATAAACAGCTCCTCTGTACAACTCATATGATCCAAATATCTAATGCTCTCCAAATTATGATGAACTGATCTTGGAGGAACCAGTTGAATGGTTCCCACAAGATAGAGAAACTTCAGTTGGGGCAATCGGCAAATATCAAGGGGTTCACTTATTGAAAGAGAAGCATCAATATCCAGCTTCTGCAAATTCCATAACATGAACAATGGTAGAGAATTAAGTTTCAGAGTAGCAGGAATTTTTAGATATCTCAAATGCACTAGACCCATAAACTCTATAGACGCATAGGAATCGTAGTTTCCCACTCCTAGTATCAATCCCCTTAAAAACTTCAAATAATCATAATGAAACTGCTGACGAAATGAACTCAAAGTTAAAAAGGTGCTGCAATTTTTTGATTGGCGGTGAGATATACGAGAAGAAGAGTTTATTAGTTGACTTCTCCTAAACCCTACACTCAAGATAGACCTATCATTTCTGAGACATAATAGATTCTCCTTCCGAGCTTCTCTCAAGGCCAATTCACGCAACACATCATGCATTTGATATACATTCATTGATCCCTTAAAATCAATCTTTGTAAAAACTAAAAGGAGATTCCTATCTACAAGATCTTTTAAGGATTCTCTTGCCACATCTTCCAAGCTCTTACACCTCAAAACCTTTAGAAATCCCTCCGAAACCCAAAAATCAACAATAAAATCTTCAGCAAGTTTTTCATCTTCTCGAAAACACCCAATTGACAAGAAACAATGTTTAAGGTGATGAGGTAAGGTGTAACTCAAGTCAATGATGTTTTCACCCTGCTCATTTGAATGATCTATACTTAATGCATGAACATTCTTCGCAATTAGCTCCCATTCATTTAAGTCTTGTTTGGGGCTTGAGAGGAGTCCAGCAACCACTTTAATTGCAAGAGGTAATCCTTTGCACTTCTTTACTATCTCTCTACCAATTCTTTCAAATTCAGGGGACAAAGTTATTCTCTGGGACAACACCTGATTGTGAAAAAGGTTCCAACTTTCATGTGAATCCAAAAAACGCATGGTATGACAAAGATTACCACGTGAATCAGCGTACTCAGCCACATTCTTTAGGCGAGTAGTCAACAACATTCGACTTCCATTCTTGCCATCCTTAAAACATCTCATTAAATCATCCAACACATTTGTACTCCATATGTCATCTATTACAACCAAATACCTTTTACCTTTGACACATTTGTCTACTTTCATAGCCAATTCATTCTTTTCTTCAGGGACGACCCATGTTGGGTCAAGAGAACGAAGAAGGGCCTTGAGCACTTTTATTGGATTATAATCCTGTGAGATGGCAACCCAAGCTCGACAATGAAAGCGAGAAATGAATGAAGCATCTCCATAAATTCTTTTAGCTAAGGTGGTTTTACCGATTCCACCCATTCCCACAATTGACACAATTTCTCGTTGTTTGGATTGCTGGTTCAGCTTATCCATTATCATGTTGAACTCATCATCACAGCCCACCATTTCTATTGTAGTATGCTTCAATGAATCACCAACTGTAAGAGAAGCAGAAGTATTGTTCCCTTGTGGGGTATTGGATTCATTGTAGTGTGCATTTTTAACCTTCAACACCTCTTTCTTATGTAGGATGTAAGCTTAATTCCTTCCATGAAAATTTGATGAATCTTATGTCGAGCCTGTATCCGTTGCTTCATGTATTTATTGAGATAAGAGGGGGGATTCTTGCCTGATTATACTTTCTAATTCACACAAAATATGTTGTTGTACCTCAGTCTCCCATTCATCATCACTCACCTCCTGTTCATCCATGCTCCTTTGTTCATCATCACTCTTTTGTTCTTCCTTGTTCTCCCATTCATCCTCAGTCTCCTCTTTTGTCTCCCATTCATCCCCGCTCTCCTGTTCATCCTGCCCCTCCAATTTAGCCTCGCTCTCCCATTCATCCCGGCTCTCCTCTTCATCCCCGCTCTCCAGTTCATCCTCACTCTCCAGTTCATCCCCGTTCTCCTCTTCATCCCCGCTCTCCTCTTTGACCTTGCTCCATCTTTTGTAAAAGAGATAACCATATTGTGTGCAAAAAGATATGACCATTCTCTTTATATGAGCGGGCATGCCTGCTACCGGCAGCGTGAAGTGCTTCCTTAGCATCTCCGATACACATTCCAAATCCATAGTTTCTATGCCGCCTTTAGTTGCTTCATTCAAAATGGGAAGAAGCTTTTGAGCAGAGTGAAGCCTAAGCTTCATGGATTTCCCAATGTAAAACAACGTCAAATGGTGTTCAATTTGGAACCTCAGTTCAATGGAGACATCTCTCATTTGTGCTTCCAAAGCTTTGATTGCTTCATCACACTCCCCCATGTTGAAATCTTGTTCAAGAGAGGTTTGCAAAGAAGAAAGATGTTTGTAAAGTAATCTGACCTTTGTTTTGTTGCGAAGAGGGAAACGAGGAGTGAGTTGGAGGAAGTGTTGGTGGAGTGTATCCATTAAAATTGTTACAGCCGCAAAAGCCATAGCAGACAATGTGATGTGATGTTGTAGAGAGAGAGAGAGCGCAGGAAGGAATGAAGTTGAAAGAAATAACTCTGCAGATGAAAGGATGGCGTATAAAATAAGGACTCAATTTTTTGCATAGTAGAATTTGCAAAATAAGAATACCATGGAAAATCTTTCTAGTTCTCAATAAGAAAAAAGAAACTATTATCATAATCTAATTAATGAAATTAAAATTAAGATGTCAACACAATTAATATTGTTCTTTTTGAAAATGAAACTATTGTATTTCACTATTACAAATTCACAAAAATAATTACACAATAATGACATATAATTTGGTTCAAAAAAACCATTTCCTGCCAAATCAACCAAATTAGTAATAAATAATCAAATTATAATTTAACTCTATTAATTCAAAAATCATTTTTCAACTTGATAGGTGACCTTATTAATTCAAAAATTACTTTTCAACTTGATAGATGAATAGCTTCAATTCACGAAATTAACACTGCTGGAAATTATGAAATTTCCGACCACCTGAAAGTGATCTTAAATCAAGTTGGAAGTCTTGTTCCGACCACTTTTGGTATCCGTATAAAACTTTGTTGCTATTTCTGACCACTTTTTGCTTTCGACTTGATTTAAGTTTACTTTCAGAGTTTCAGGTGGCCGGAAATTCCATAATTTCCAGCAGTTAAACATTAGAATTTTGATTAATTCAATTTCAATTAATTTGATTCAAAATTAATCAATTATATTATGATACTAGTTTTTTTTGCGCGCTTTGCACGAATGGATAATGCCCAATGATTATTTTTAAATAAGTATTTTAAAGTATAGGGGATTCATCATGCAATGAGATTATGGTGTAGGAAGCTTTAGATTTGCCTTGCTGTGTATATGACTGAGATTTTAGTTGTAATATGAACTCTTTATCTTACAAACATCTATTGATATTTAGTAGTGGTAATTTTCCCCCTACATGTTTCATATGTTGTGAGATGTGTGTCATAGGTTATCATGTGAAAGTATTAAACAAAATATTAATATTTATTATATTTGTATAAAATACTTGGTAAATAAATAAATAAATAAATAATATATATATATATATATATATATATATATATATATATATATATATATATATATATATATATAAACATGTTTTGTATTATAACTTTGATATTTAATTACAAGATAATGTAAAAAGAAGACAATTGACAATATAGTGAATATAATAAATTAATAAATTTGAATGTAAGGAATCTTTGAATTGTAGAAAATAGAGATAATATAACTAATGAAATTATATTTCTTTCAAATTTTTTATAATGAATAATTTTTTTTAAAATAAAGCATTATAGACATCTAAAGCATTATGTATTATTTTTGGTTGTAGCTACTAATTTCTTAAATTAATAAGAGTAATAAAGTGACGTACATACTTTTCATTAATAATAATGAAATTAATGATTTTTTATAAAATTTCTATTCCTTGTTGAGACAAATTGTTTTGAGAGTTTGTCAATGACAATTGCTACAATTGCTGTCAATAGAGGACAGGGCCGGTCCTATCATTTTATAGGCCCGGGGCAGGATAAAAATATGGGCCCCGATTAATATATATTTCATGCCTAAAATTTAAATTAAATAAGAAAAAAATTATTAATATCAATAACTTTAAATAAGATTAACAAGTTTTTTACAATTTTACATATACAACAACAATCATAAAAAATATTTCTAGGTGCTTTCCTTAATGCAAAATAATAAATAATCGTATAAGTGCCTTCATAAATAAATAATATTATAGTTTATAAAATTGAATAAATAATTTAAAATCGAGTAAACTTATAAACAATAACATTGTTATCATAATAAATAATAAATTAAGTATTATTAAAAAATTATAAAACAATAATTACAAACATATGGAAAGTTATTTTTTTTTTTTACTAGGAGCAAGAAATTAAAATATTTCAAAACGCAATAAAAAATGTAAAAAGATATGAAACATAATTATCGAGATAAAATAGTTTGAACATAAAGTATATTATAAATCACACATCTTCTATATTATTTATCTGATTTTTATAAATACTTTTTTTAATACAAATACTTTTTCTTTTAAATAGATAAATTTTAAACTTTTTTTAGAATAATTTGAATACATATAATGACACATGATAAAAGCTTCTATATTACATTTATTAGATAGTCATAAAAAGGTACGGAGTAAATTATCTTTTAATTTTTTTTATAATTCAATCTCAAAATATATCATATAACCCCCTCCGTCCTATTTTTACGTGTCTTGTTTGGTTAACATGAGTTGATTGAAGTTTTTTTAATTCAATTTTTCATAATATGTTTAGTATAAGTATATAAAAAGTTATAAATTTAGAAATTACATTAAAAATTTAATATAAAAATTTATATATTTAATATAAAAAATTTTCATAATATGTTTAGTATAAATATATGAAAATTTATATATTTAAAAACTACATTAAAAATACTACTCGGTATTAAACACAAAAAATTAATAAAAATAAATTTTTAAAATATAAACAAAGAAGTAAAGTTGAGGAATTCTAAAATGTGAAGGGAAGAATTGGATCACGGGCCTTTGATTAATAAATGAGGTTAAAATTCAAGTATCTTATTAACCAAACTAATTCACATTACTATAAAACATATGTATATAAATTACTTATACTCAATACATATATACTATATATAAGAGATAAGATGGGGCCCTCCCCCAAGCATGGGCCCTGGGCAAGGGCCCAACCTGTCCTTGCCCTAGGGCCGGCCCTAATAGAGGCAAATTATATTATGCACCGCGCGTCTTTTTTTTTTAAATGAAAATTAACCGTATTTATTTTCGCCGTTTCGCACCCTTTTGCAAAAAGTAACTCTATTATTCAGTGTCATTTTGTATACACTGCAGTTTTAGTTGAACACAACTACAGTTTCATTTCGATATAACTATAGTTTCATTCGATATTTATAGACTCAAATATGTGAAAATGTTATTTAATTTTATTTTATATACACTATAGTTTTATTAAAACACAACTACATGATCATTTTGATATAATTACAGCTTCATTGTACAATATACACTCGAATATGTGAAATGTTATTCAGTTTCAGTTTATATACACTGCAGTTTCATTTCACTATAACTACAGTATCATTTTGATATAACTGCAGTGTCGGTTTGGATATACTGTAGTGTCAGTTGGTGTTTAATACACCAAACAAACGGACTCCGTTAACTCTAACGGCGGACCGTTTCTTTACTTAAAAAAACGGCGCCATATATGGGCCACGGTGCATAATCGATTATGCACCGCGGTCTATAATATAACAACTGCCTAATAGAGGATGATAATAACTAATTCAAAATATATGGTTACAATATATATATATATATATATATATATATATATATATATATATATATATATATATATATATATATATATATATATATATATATATATATATATATATATATATATATTATTGTTATAATGATATAGTAAAAATTAATTTAAAAATTTCTTTAGAAGTTTCATGCATTGATAAAATTCTGATGTGTAAACTTGTTCAATTGGAGCTAGTAGGATGTTAACATTGTCAATTATTTGAAAAATGATCCTACCATTTTAGAGTCCATATGTAATTGTATTTATGATCAACAACTTTGTAGTTAGGCTGCGCAGGTCTGACAATGATAATAAGAACAATTTTATCCGATAAAAAAAAAGTATAATATTTGTAAAGTAACGTACAATTGTACCATTATAAAAAAAAATACAAAAAATATTAATACCATAATGACCTAAATCATTCCAATAATGCAAAAACATAATTGAAATATTAAGTTTGGTTCTAAATAATCAAAAGAAGATTAATTAAACGTTTAAAAAAAAAAAAAACTTAACCTAAATTTGTTTTTTTTTTTAAAAAAAATTCAAGATAATCAAATGATTTTTAAAGTTCCTGATTTATAATCTTTGATGCTCAACTTTGAATGCTATGTATTTAGTCGTGCTAATTATTTGACCAAAGTTTATGTTAAATTTTACATTATATATTTTTTAATACATTTTAACATATTCATAATATATGTTTAACAATTATGCCAACTCTAATTGGGATGGGGTTCGAACCTAGGACCTTTCTTATATAAATTAATTAGTATGTTGAGAATAATAAATAGTTAACGGAATATTCCGTTACTAAAGTTTATACTAACGGAATTTAGGGTTATTTTAGGGAAGAAAATAATATAATAGAGAGTAAATAAGAAAAATTATTTAAAAAAATACTAAAATCAAAATAATATGAACCATTCATTTTAAGAAACAACTACTACCAACATTTTTTGTTCTAGTTAAGGACCTAACATTATTGACTCTTATTAGATTTGTAGATTGAAGATATACTCCTTATATACATATGTATTACGTGTGTTAATGTTTTTTTTTTTTTTTTAGAAAAAAATTACGTGTGTTAATGTAATTACTATATCAACAAAAAATAAAATATAGCTATAAGTGTAAAAAATATTACACATTAGACCCACTTTGTTGACTTAATTAGTTGTCAAATCAAATAGTTGTTAGGCTCTGGATCACAGTCAGGATGCGCTCCAGAACGGGTGAAAACTCTTTCAAAAGTGGTTATCTTCAAATCCTATTTAAGTGGTGATCTAAATCATGTGGTGCAGCTTCTCTTGAGGATTTGGTGGCTGTACATTTTCAGACAAAAAAGCTCCAATTCTTTCCTATAAATAGCTATCTCGGATTTTTTATCGAATTGAAGTTTTTTAACGAATCATATCTATTGAATTCTCTTCAAGTCCTCCTCTGGTTATCTCTATTAAATTATAAGCGGGTTGAAGACACCTTGGCTATGTTGAAGATGGCTTGCACGTCCTGTCCAAAGTGATGATGAAGAGTACGGTGGAGTAGTAGTGTGTATTGAACTTTTCCCTTGTACTCCTTGTTGATCATCTAGTGGATTGGGTTGACATGAGTGGCCCCGTAGACGTATGAGTGTAGCTCCGAAT